ACCGAGTAAACCCTAGATTCTCTGCTTCTAATTCAATCGAATTCACTCGCTTTAATCATTTCTAGGGTTTGCTCGGTTACCTTTACTATCACTTAAAAATTTGATCTTTGTCAATAAATTCATCATCTTTGGGATAAAGTTTCGATTTTTATTTCTCTTCCTCTTTCCCTTCTTACTCAAAACCATTTTAATTCATGGCGTATCAATCGGTTCCGGGTTCTGGGTTTCACTACTTGAATTCGCCTTTTGGAGATACAACTTTCACAAAGGTATTCGTCGGTGGACTTGCTTGGGAGACTCAAAGTGAAACCCTTCGTCGTCATTTCGAACAGTATGGTGAAATCCTTGAAGCTGTCGTCATTTCTGATAAGAACACTGGTCGGTCCAAAGGATACGGTTTTGTGAGTCTCTCTGTTCCTCTCTCTCTCTAGAAATGCTAATTGTTGCTTTAGAGATGCAAGTTTCGTTGATTAGTGCTATTAGCCTGATAGTTAGATACTTAGTTTCCTTGTTTAAGGTAAATGGCATCACCAGAGGCTCTTATGGATCGTGTGAATTAATCACAGAACATAGAAAGTCATTAAATTTTGGTGTCATTAGTTTTGTTGTTGTGAAGTTTGGAGAATGACTCAGTGCTCTGTTTTCTATTTCATATGGAGGATTTAGGTGACTTTTAGAGATCCAGAAGCTGCTAGAAGAGCTTGTGTTGACCCAACTCCCATTATAGATGGCAGACGTGCAAACTGTAATCTTGCTTCCCTCGGGCGACCTCGGCCTCCATTGCCCTATGCATTGGTACCTAATATGCCTGGTCAGTCTTGTTGCAATAATACGCGGCTTACTTTGGTCTAACATTCTATGTTGTAGTTGGTCGTTGATGTTGTACAATACCTGTAATATAGTGCATTGGTGTTGTTTTTGCTTTGCTTAGGACGCTTAAGACCTGCTTCTTCCCCGTACATTGGAAATGTGCAGGGTCCTCGTGGTTCACTTTTTGGAAATTATCCGTATCAGCAACCGCTTCCATATAACTACCAGCAAGGAGTTGTGTATCCTTATGGGTGAGTCACACAGTTTTGATATCACCCATTGCACTAATGTCTCGGGTATGTTTCATTAGCTGTGTTTCTAAATTTGATTTTTTCCACTCTCAGCGTAACCGCATATGGACCCGAGTACATGTACTCACAATCACAGGTTGATAATTGCTTTGAAACTCTCTTCATAATTAAATATATTGCAAACTTTGGCTATATCTTGTCTCGTTTCATGTTTTAGGGTTTATATGGTCCTCCATACATGGGTCAGCAACAATACCTTCAGGTCTACGGAGTACCTGGTGCAGTGAATTCACCAGTTTATCAATACGGGCAATTAAATCAAAGTATTCCCAGTGGCCACGGTTATGCAGCAGTTCAAGGGTATTCGGTTCCAGGAGGCCATGTTCTGCAACTTGGTGGACCAACTGCCAGTGCGATGACCACTTCATCTATGTCTGCTCTTCAATCTCCATACCCTTCAGGTGCATTTTACTGTCTCACTCATCTTAAAATTATTCTTTCACTGATCAAATCTGAAATTACTGGCTCGGCACTTCTGTGTTGAAGACATTATGAAAAAAGCTAAAGTTTATGTGCAATGAGGTTATGTCCTCTTTTGAATGTTTGTCAGGCCCTGCTCCAGTCCAGTCGCATATCATTGTCCATTCCCCTCAATTTATGCAGAGTAGCGGTTCTGACCAAACAACAAGGTGAGAATCAATTCAACGTTATCGTTATTTTTGGTGTAGTGGTTGCACATTTGTTTTTTTTACATCACTTGTATGATAGTAATGGATGATTTCAGTTATCCTTGAAGACTGAGGAGAAAGGAAGTTAAGGGCTAGCGAAATTGCTATTCAAGGTGGCAGCGGACGCTTCCTGTTTTTATCAAGTCTTGCACGTTATTTATCTTGCATCCTAAAGGTATGTGTTTCTTATTTGACATTTACTGTAAATGCATAAACAAAGAAGATCATCATCATAAATAAAGCATTGATCTTCATTAACCTCGGGATCTTATCGCGGTACAGGTTACATAAACTAGTCTTGCTCACTGGGAAGTCGCAGAAGGAAAAAAGAAAAGGAAATGGAGTTTCAGGGTTTGCGCTTTGGTTTTCTTACCCATCCATCAATGTGTATATCTAAACACAGCCACAAAAATGCTGTGGCTTAAGCTCGGGTTGAGTTTGCAGGCACTATAACGGTTATCCCTCCGGCGGGGAAAACCGTTGGTAATAAGTTGGTGTACAATATGCATATATAGATATACACACATACACAAGCATATATACATGGTAGAATCAAAATCTGATTCTTTTCTAGTCTAAAGTCGTAATACTACTACTACACTTCCTTCAGGTACAGGAGTGTAGTTAGTAACATTCATAGGTATATAGCCTTTGTCCCCAAGTCCCTGCATTGTAAGTAAAACATGTTCATGTTCTTGTCTGTGACTGTGCATATATATATAGTTGTGTAGGGTTTCTCTCTTCTTCCATATCTGAACACACTGACGAATTGTTATCTGAAGCTTACTTCAAAGTATGGAGTCAGTTTTTCTTTTTTGTTTTCCTCAGAATTTGATTGCAGAAAGTGATTGTTCAGTAAACAAATTGTTTGATCTATGTGAGGAGTGAAAAAGATCAATTTGGTTCCTCTGATAAATATAAATGACATTCTCATATGAATCTGAAAGACTTGACTGCCTGCAAAAACATAGAAACAAAAGTCATATAAACAACAGGTTTTGGTGAAATTCTTCATTGTTGTTGTGTCTTCTTCTTACCTTCTGGATCTTGGAGCTTTGTTCAGCAGATTCTTCATCTGTAAACTGTTGTAGCCAAAGAGAGTCATTGTGTCTTAGACAAATGAAACTGGCGGAGGGATTATTGTAGCAGTTGAACCAGACTCACCTGTCCTGTGACCGTGTATAAGCGGTTGTACCACCCGTTTGTGGCCATTCCAATCGCAGAGTACAAATGCTTGCGAGTTTCTCCCGGGTTTTGTAATGTGTACTCGATGTAATAGAATCCTGGTCATAATTACAAGAGACCCAACTTGTGTCAATGAACAATGCAGATACAACAGAGAATCCTCGCTAACTTGAGAGTTTTGTTTACCCTTAGAAGCTCTGCTATCGATTAGCTTTGCAGTCACTCCTGCTGGTCTCTGCCAGCTTCTATCCAATCCACTAACCTATAAACACAATGTCATATGTACAACTTTAAGAACAAGAACTCTCTTTTTGCAGAGAGTTTGTTTGCTTGAAATGCAGTTCAACAGATTTCGAGAGACTTAACCAGTGTTTCAGCGAAAGCTTCGACCTTTCCAAACGATTCCATCCTGGTGAAATCCGGTCCTAGTCCAGTGATCGCTACGCTCACTGAGACGATCCATATTCACCTATAAGTTAGCTCAAGATTGCTGACCAAATGGAAAAAAAAAATACTTCATCGTTACCATTGGAAGTTGAAGCTTCTTCAGGGTAAAAAGCTGTGATTGACTTGAATCCATTAGGTTCTGCTTTCCCAATCTGCCAATCTTTGTGTGAATGCAGTCACTCAGATTCATCCATTCTCATGATATGGTTCACTACTAGACTCTTAAAAAAAGTACAGAGTTTGATCAATAGTTTACCTTGTGGAATTGATATCTCGAATTTGTTCACTTCATCTGTGTACACACGGAAAGTATCTGAAGCATCTGAGATGAAATGGTACTATTAAGCTTCGAATACTCTCTCTTAAGAGAATCAAAATCAAAAGGAGTTTTTGAATGAACAATACTTGTCTCTGCAAATGCAGGTGAAACAACAAATGGAAGGAAGAAAACAGAGGAAGCTATCATTTCTCTTCTCTTTATTCCAACTTCTTCATCTCTAGACCTGTTAATAACGAGAAAAAAGATTGAAACTTTATCAGATTCTTACGAAACCCAGATCAAAGAAAAGTAGTGAATTTCACTTTGGGAGTTTTACGAAAGCTGATGTTGTTGTTCATCGTTGGAAGTGTCTAGAGCAGAGATGGTTGCAGAAACTGATGTACATCTTATGGAATCTGGAAAGAATTGGCTCTATGATTACGAATTTTGTTTGTACAAGAACGAAGATTAAGTAGTGAAGAGACATAGAGGTTGAGGGACCTGTAATGGTGTTAATAAATCGAGATGAAACGCGGGGATTCGATAAGCTCCGTGGAGGAGAAAACCATGGAGAAATCGAAGCCATGTGTTTTCAAGATATGTCCGAATATCGCTGTTTGGTCTTTCT